AGTTCATCTTCAAGTGAAAAAAGCAAAAACCGGGAAGCCGGCTTAAAACGTAAACAAGGACTTTCAGAGACACTTTAATACTTGTCCTCGTGAATGAAAAGTGTTGTTCACCGAATTATTTTCCTTTTATTGACTGTTAGTAGTCTCTTTTGCAGTTTTAATCGCTGTGCCGTTTGTTTTCAGTCGCTCATGAACATCGCTTTCATGCAGGAGTAGTCAAAATACCGCGCGTATCAAACGCTTTTGAAGATCATCGTTATAAAACCATTTAATAAAAAATAAACATAACAAATTCTTTATCATGTTGAAGTGTATAACTCTATTAATCTTAATTTAAACAGTCGACTTTGGCGCTTGTCAAAGTGAGAACCGGCCGGCTGTATATGTGATTTTGGACATTTTTTTAACGGTTTAGCTAAAAGGCCACGCGTGCTTCGATCGTCCTGAATATTGAATGAGTGCAATTTCTGTTGCAAAATTGTGAAATACTGAATTCTGTCCGAGGTCTGTATGATAAAAACAGTACCTCATAGTACTGTTTCACCTCAGATGTGATGTATAAATGGTATAAAAGGTTGGTTTACACGCAACCAGATTTGTTTGCAAGATTTTGTAAAGTAAACTTGTCGAACGCAAAAAAATTTAACCTGATTTTTTTTCCAGGCCTAATTAATCTTACGGTGATCAAGAGCCATTATGGCTCTTAAATGTGATCGAAGATGATTGCTATTTTTTGGGTGTACATATGATCGAGGTTATCAACTCGATGTAACTTAGTTTTGTTCACTCTTGGGCTGTTTGCAAATTATTTTTCTCTAAAATCACTTAGCCTTTCCCTCAAAAGTCACATGAATGTGCTATGTGCTCTAAATTAACAACTGAATTGTGGAATTCAAGTTTATTTTTTGATTTAAATTATAAATATATAATGGGAGCCTCGCTTTTAGCCCTGGCTAAATCTATATATTAATTTATTATGCAAGGGAAGCGCGTGCTTCGATCGTCCTCAATATTGAATGAGTGCAATTTGTGTTGTAGGATTATTGTGTAAAAAACTGCAAATTATAATTAAAATAGGGGAAAAAATGACATAAATTGTGTCCAAGGTCTGAAAACAAACAGCGCCTGATAGTTTACTTCAGAGATGGTGTAAAAAGGCTGGTTTACGCGCTACCAGAATTTTAGCGAGCCACACACAAAAAAATCCGGTCTGATTTTTTTTATTTTGACCTTCCCTTTAGACAGAGAGATAACACCGATAAACTGAACGAGTAAATTTGCTCACGGCCACCGGGGACTATCGTGTCTTTACGGTCTTCATAGCATAAAATTATAATATTAATCCTAATTAGTAGCCTAATCTACTATGGCCAAACGGTGACGATAAAAAGAGGAATGAGTTTGCGGAATGGCATGTGGCATGGCTTGCGGAGTGACATAATTATGCGGAATGTAAAATATGGAAATTGGCGCAAAGAAATAAATTAAACTGAAAGGCATGCGTCCGTCATTGCCGCGGCTCTTTTGGCGCCAATTTGAGTGAGCAACTGCTTTACTGGTTCACGCATTTAGACATTTATCTAAAACATACCTGAGAATTGGCTAGGGTTCCTGAAGGCAGCCTCCAAACAAAAACATTGAAGTCCGGTAAATATAGTGAGGCGTGACCAAAATAACTTAGTTTCCTCGATTGTAAAGTAACAAGACGAAATATCTTCTTTTTCCGTTATCCTTAGCGACTTACCATTGTTAAAATCCTTATTTTTCGATAGAAAGTGAGTACCAGAATACTTGTGCGTTTAATTTTTTGCTTCTTCAAAATACTGTCGGCACCGAAAATGTTACTCCTTCGATCAAGAATTACGTTGCGTTACTACCTTGATTTCGTGACTGTCATTTTGACAGCTCCGTCTCTTCAAACCCACCTTGTGCCACGTGCAGTCACGGAACAGACTGTCACGCAGAGTCGCAGGCAGGTAAAGTTCAGTGTTTCAAAATGGCTAAAATTAACCCAGTTTCACCTTTTTACCCCATTCTTTTATTGAAAAAAGCAATTTTGCAAAGGAAAAACCTACAAGACGTACGAAAAACGAGCCTTTAGGCTGTAAATATCTATTTATGTGCGTTTCGAAATTGGAAGTGTTTACACAATACAGACGATTACCGCCTGCCTACCACGAAAATTCCTGAACTTCGATGGTGTCTTACAGAGATTTCCTTCACTTACCCAAGCCAATTCCCAGGTATGTTTTAAATGGATGTCTAAATGAGTGATTTAAATAGCAAGAAGAGAATTTGGAGTTATACCACATGTTAAATATTGCCGTCGAAAACGAGTAACGAACTTAAATTTTGTCCCTCATTTTTAAAATTATTTCAGTACGACCAGCTTCCCTATTGTCCAGAAAAAATCTTCTAGTGGAAGGAAAATAATTTTTCTGTTCGTGGAAAGTGTCCAAATTTCTCCATCCAGCTTCGTTTGCGAACGCGAGGAAAGTTGATGTTAGCGAATTTCAGGTTAAAAATTAATGCAGTCTGAGACGGACTCCGACATCGAAAACCGATCTTCTATTTTTTCCCACGAATAAAAGGCTTTCGGCGGGAACAATCTTCGTTAGGTTTCTTATCAACCTAAAAGCTATCTATGAACAAAAATGAAAGAAATTGATTTTTCAACTCTTGCCACAAAATTAACATTTTGGTCGATTTTTCTGTTTCGCACGTCTCAAGCTCGCAACTGAGGAAACAAAATGTAAGATTCGATTCATCTCTGAATATTATCAATTATGTCACGATCACGTAACCCACAGTCTCATAAAGAAACACTTCTCACACGGTTTGGAATACAAATATAGGTAACAAGAAACTGTTAAGTTAATCGTACAAACATCTTTTACAGAAAAAATTAATTAAAGTAGTAGGGAGCGTGACCTTCGAAAACATCTTTTCTTCAATAGACGAAGAATCTTTTTGGCTGTGCGACAAGGCTGGTCGACAATGAGCCTTCGTGGTTTTTTGATTGTCATCGTATGTTAAGCCCGCAAAATTAAAACAGCGGCTGCGTTTGCAAATTGATTGGCAGCAAAAACGGGCGTTCTTTTCAGTTTAATTTATTTCTTTGAAAATGATCTGCGTATATTAAATTCCGCATAATTATGTCATTCCGCAAGCCATGCCATATGCCATTCCGCAAACTCATTCCGCCTTTTACCCTCACCGATAGCCAAAGGTGATTTCTATTTTTTAGGTGTACAAATAAGATTATTGACTCGACGTAACATTTTAGATGTTGCTTCATTCTTGCACCCTTTGTGTTTTTCATGAAAAACAGCTCATAAATAAACACTTTGCATGATTTTAGCCACAATATTTACTTTTGTTGTTGAAAGAAGTTCCAAAAACATGTATTTTCGCTCAACATTTGCTTGACCACCTGCTACTTATGACGTCGTATCTCGTAAGCAGAGCAACTGACCATCACTAAACTTGACTCAAAATCTGCGTGAGGGATGAACGAACAACTACTGAAAACGTCAGGAGCTAATGGTTTATCCTCAAGGAAAAAACTCAGAAAAACCTTATGGAGGGGGGGGGGGGGGGGGGAGGTGGTATTCAATGTTCATCCGATGTGTGACGCTCCACTCAGTTCGAGATCGGCGCGGTGCTGCTTCGCTTCGTCACAGAAATTCCACCGAAATCACCGTTCTTGTATGTGAACAGAAGTCCAATCTGATTTGATTTTCGTGGCAGTGCATAAGCTATTCGGTATAGTGTGAACATAGCTTTAACTTTGCAAAGCAACTTACAGTATGGCTGAATTAAACTGAAAATTTGCTGAGTTGAACCTTGAAGAGGCTGAAGAATGCTTTTTATTGGACGGTTTTCTGCACATTTGTTGGGCCGGAAGCACACCCGCGACAGTGAACCGGAACATAACAAATCAAGACATATAATGAGACAGGTTTCTCTATAACCGGTTAGGAGGGAAAAGAAGCGGAGACCAGATTAAAGGGCTTACAACCAGTTTTTGGTTATTTGAAACTTTTTTATTTGCCTTGAACGGTTCGACTACCTTCCCCGGAGCTATGTGAAAACGAACAACTTATCTGATTACCACGTCAAAAACAGCCCCAGGGTAAATATTGTTTGTCAGAATAAAAATGCAAACTAAACATAGAGCAATTAGTCAGACATTTGACGCAGTACCTGCCCTGAATTGCCTGTTCACTTATTCAGTAGGTTAATCAACTGATCCAGTCAGAAAAAAATGACAGCCAAAAAAGGAGAAACAGAAAAAGGCAAAAAGTAAAGCTAATAATAATGATAATAATAGTAATAATAATAACAATAATAATGATAATATTTAATTTGTGATAAGATGTATTAGTGATATGAACTTATTTTTAGCACAAAACAGGAAGACTGTTTTATGAACCATTAAGTACGTCAAATGGCTGAATGAACAAAAGCGGTAAATATGCAGTTTTTCAAGGGGTGGTTTTTCTTCCGCCGTCAGTTTGACGTAAGTGGTTTAATGATATCTCGCTGTGTCCGCTTAATGAAGTAGGATACCAAACTCTTTGTCAGATTGACTCGGCGATGCAAAACCATGAGAGCTTAGTTGCCTTACGAGGGAAGAAAACGAAACATCACCGGGAGCAGGGGCGGAAGGAAGTGATTTATCTGCCAGGTCTTAATTTTGTGCCGATTTGCTTGAAATGAACGCGCTTTAGCGCGAAGGGGGTTTCTCCCTTGAGTTTCAAACTACGTAAGCGTTTAATCAACTCTTGAATCAGGCATTAGTTGTAAACTATCTACGGGAATTTCCCTTTCAGTAGGATCATGATACATTAATAGAAGATGCTGGCAAGGAACCCGGCAGTAAATCTTACAACTTAAAACAAAGCAGATAACAGAACTTATAACAGGTTTTTGGTGTCGATACCGGACATAAAAACAGATTTTGACGTAAAGAGCCGAAGGACAAATATTATCCAAGCATGGCTGCATTTGCAAGTGTCGTTAAACGCGTGAAAGGTACTGTAATAATTTTTTCGATTTGTTATTTCGTCGTTCTCTCGTCTCTTCAAGCAAGTGCAAGTCTTTTGGATCCCAGTCTGATAAGTATGGAACTTCAAAGTTTTGCCAGAGACGCTCTTGGCGTGGAAGAAATGCAGGTAAAAGTGATGTGTTAAGTACTTGCTTAGAAAAGATCACTATATATTCCTTAGGAAACGTATTCCCCTACTAATGCCGTGGCACGAAACCCCGCCGGGGAATGGGTTTAAGCGAATAACTTAGAGCAGTGAATACCTTGTCACACTGACTACTCCAAAGCGACTAAAATAATTAATTTCAAAGAAGGCAGGTCCAAAAACCTAAATGCATATTAAGTTATATACCGAAGTAAGGTTATTCCAAAAAACAAAATACAGAACTGAACACGTAAGGATATAAGCCATCGGAAAAGAAATGTGCAAAACAAAACGAAAGCGAACACGGCTACTGAGCTGACGTATAATGCCACAAATTCCGCGCCAAAACCATAATAGTCCGAAAATACCCCACGAACCGCCGCGCCCCTCTAAACCGTACCGTCAGAATATCAATTTCTGACTAATTCGTTCCCATGCCTCTCAATCGTCAGAAATTACATTTTGCGGCTGTGCAGAGTCTCGAGTATTGCCGTAGCCCAAAACAATGAAAATTTTCAAGGGTGGAGATAAAAACTGAAGTGAATGTTTTGCCCCAAATATGTCCAGGGTCCCCCCTTACCTGCAATTTCCTCAGGCGTAACAAAGAAAATAAAGAGCTGATGGCATAATGAGTTAAGCAAAATTAGATGAAAACTTAGGATAGGGCTTCTTTTCACACATAAGAACAGTGATTTCGGCGCGATTTCTGTAGCGAAACGAAGCTGCAGACGGCCGATCTCGAAAGTGGAGCGTCACTTATTGGATAGGTTTTGTGACATACTCTTGTGTAATGAGCATAGTAATGCGGACCGTAGCGGAACATAATAAGTAGGAGTGAGGACTAGAATCCACTGAGACGGAGGTAACAAATATCTAAGATTTAGAAGTAGGATTAAGTTCTCTAAACCCTCTCGGCTAACCGCTCCGGCACGATGTTCGGTGTGTGCGAACGGCTTGCTCCAGTTCGGTGCCGTTTAAACTTTTCCGGATATCTTTTTGTGTCGACACGAAAATCTAATGTATACGGTATACGTGAGCTAGCGTAGCCTAAATATGCATGGTAATCTTAACACCTGGGTCCATTTGTTTGAAGGACAATTACTGCTTAACCCGGATTAAATTTAACACTGTTTTCTCTTTCTTGTGTTCAAAATTATTTTCTCGGATAATTTTCTCTGATATATTTAGAGCTTTCAATCATCAACTTGCAAAAGAATTAAAACTGAAATGCTTTTTAAGCTTTCAAATCTGAATTTAAATCTCGCAGTAACCCTGGGTTATTTTAACCCAGTTTTGAACAGCTCAGTCCTGAGCTTTACAGTCTTTTGACTTGATAAAAGAGGATGGTTTTTTTATCTCTAACCGAAACCTTTGCCGCGTGGAACATGACAGAGTAACCTCACTAGAGGTAAAAAATATTTTCTTTTTGATCTGAAGATAAAGGCAATAACACTAAAATAAATTTGGCATCTGCGAAGTCTTACGTAATGCATCCGAGTTAGCAATCGGAGTTCGAAGAGAACGAGAGCTTTACTTTCTTCCTTTGCCTTACTTGGAATATATTTGTTTTAGAACAGGAGAGCTGTTACATGTAAAACATCCGGGAAGTAAGTTTTCAAATAAAATAAGACATTTAAAACTAGATACTGCTTCATATAATGACAAGGAAAAAATTTAAATGCAGGTATTTTAAGATAATTTTTTTCTGAAAACGCAAAAGAAATCTTAAGCTCAGCCAGAGCCTTTATTTTCGTTCTTATTAGATACATTTGGAGAAACTTCAGTACCACACGCAGACCATGACTGGAGAAGATACTCTTCCATCTCTAGCTGCCAAACTTGCAGACAAGCTCAAAACGAGGTTTGTAGTTGTAAGGCGACTGAAGAAAGCAGTTGAAGACTCGTACAATCGAGCTGCGAATACGAAGCCAGCCACGGAATGCTGTAAGGCCGAGAAATCTAAACTTCAATACAACACGAGGTTCCGATCTCTAGTGGACGTAAACAATTTTTGTGCTCAGATTTCTAGTACTGCTTCACCCAACCCTGTCCACTTAGATGAAAGCGTTCTTTTGGAAATGAAAGCTATTTTTGAAACGTATTCTTTCTTCACTTGGCAGTTCTTTGCTTCAGAGGAAGGCATGTTGACTGTCTTTCCGGTTCACTTTAACGAAAAGGATTGTTCTAAATACGACCCTCGATACAGACCGTTTTACGTGGAAACCGCCACTCCGGAAGCTAAAGACGTGGTGTTGGTGATCGATACAAGTGCATCCATGATTGGAGAGAAACTTGTCATCGCCAAAGAAGCTGCAAACACAGTGCTAGAAACCATGAATCCAAAAGATCATGTAAGTGAATAACAACTAAATAAGGAAAAGAAGACATCAGTGCTACGTGCTTATCAATGGGTTGCAGATGAGAGAGGATATATATTAGCTAGAATATAATAGCCAATCGACGTTTCGACTGAATCTACGTGCCAAGCTTTTCCAGGCGAGTTCGTCTTGCTCTCGCTCCAACTTTCGCGCAATGCCTCAATCGCAGAAACGCTTGTTACGCACGCTAACATTTCAATGCATCGTCCCCAATAATTTTGATTTGAAATTTTAACTGGCTTCGAAACTTTTTTCTTTTTCTTTTCTTTTCTTTTTTTAATTTTAGGTTGGAATTGTATCCTTTAACACTAGGGTCGCAACCCCTGGAATCTATGGTGGGAAAAGGTTATGTTACGGTGAACGGTTAGCAAGAGCAACTCCTGAAAATGTCAATAGTTTAAAAAGCTATGTTGGAGGACTTGTTTCCCATGGTAAGAGGCGTCTCGTATAATCTATATATCTGACTGGAATGGAAAAACATGGCTATAGAAATCTCTCTCTCTCTCTCCCTCTCTCTCTGGTTTACTTTCGGGATCTTGAATAAATCGACTGTGTGAGTCGAGACAAGTTCCATGTGACGATTTAGGGACTGGTCCAAAAATATAGGGGTGGGGCGGAGCATTTGGAAATGTGGTTGATATAAAACACATGGCCCACCTCCTCCCTTCGGCACAATAATGGCTGACTCATCCCTAAAGCAAGGTTGGAAATTCCATGACCCACTCCCTAGTTACAACATGGATGTTTGGTTTGCTCTTACTAATCCAATAAAACCTTGTTCTGTGCTTGACAAAATTTGTTGATACACTGCTACAGCCAATTTCAAAATCGCAGAAATCATATCTTTCACTGAAAAGACAAATGGTAAAACCGAACATTTCTTGTTTCGATGGACGTTATGAGTCTTGAGACAAATATGCCGCAAAACGAGGGCATAATGAAATTGTCTGTCACAAAGCATATGCAAATTTGTACAAAGACAACCCATTCCCACACATTACTTCCCGGAAATGCTTAGATTAATCCTCAAAGAAACTGCAATGGGCACAAAGACAGCCGTTTTGATTCCTTTGCTAACATTATCATGTCATATATTGAAACAACAACAACTCTAGGAAAAACTGTCTTTAGAACGAAAGTTTGGAAATGCTACATGCATGATCTCTTTTCCCTATGGGACATGAGTAGATGAGACATTGAAGCCTTGAACTTACTTCACCCAACTATTAAATTCACGGCCGAAACATTTGACACTGAGACTGCGTTTTTAGACACGGTTGTATACAAAGCCACAGGAGTCAAAGAAAAATCTCAGTCCTTGATGTAAAGGCACATTTTAAACAAACAGAAACCTTGTTGCACACACATTTCACCTCGTGTCACCCTCCAAGTGTTAAAAAAGGATTTGTCAAAGGAGAAGCCTTGAGAATCCTACGAAAAAACTCCTCAGAAACAACCTTTGAGGAAAATAATTCAAATTAAAAAAAAGAAAAACACTTGATGGACGGAGGCTACCCACAAACTTTGATAGAAAACCTACCATCAGAAATAAAATTCACAAAAGGGAGTCTAAACTCCTGAAACAAAACAATAAGAAGGAAAAAGAAATATTGCCATTCGTGACATAATACCAACCCTCAGTGTCTACTATAAAGGAAGCTTGAATGAAAAAATGGAATCTGATACAAGACCAACCATAACTTCAATAAATTTTTAAAGAACCACCAATCATTTCCTTACAAAAAAGGAGAATCATTAAAGGACATGCTCGTTAGACCCAAAAAGAAAAGGTTTACAAAGGGCTTCACGCCCGTATAGATGTGCGACCTGTCACCCTTTGCATTTTCTTGCAGAACAGGTTTGTGAGTATTTTAGCAATAATTCTAGCTGGCTGTGTTTTATATAACAAGTGTAGTCAACTGTCTCGTCAGTAGTTAGTGCCTATCTATGTAATAAAATAGGGTAACCCACCCCCCAAAGGGTAGCTGAAAATTGCACGACCCACCCCTTGCACAAGGCTCAAAACCTCATGACCCACCCTCTCTCTGCTCCGGCCCACCACCCCTATACTTTTTGACAAGTCCCTTATAAGGAGAAAGCGAGAGTTTAACGGAGTAATTTGGCGACGTTTCGCCCGTGTTAAGTGTCGAAGTATTATGAGCGATTTTCGGAAATGTTGTGATTGCTGCCAAAGTCATTTATTGTGTGATTTACCGAAAGTGTTGACAGACTAATCTCAGGTATGTGTGGTGGAGCTCGTGTTACCAGGATACTTTGTGGCAAGCATAAAAATGCTTCGCGAGTGTTTAGTTTAGGTGAGTTTATCTTGGAAAGCCTATTCTGTGCTCAAAGATTGTGGATTCTTAATCTGTTTTTGGTCGACACTGAACTATGGGCCTCACGGTTTGACTGACTAAAAAATTACACGTTAAAAATGTTGTTTATTCCATTGCAAAATCCTGTTACTTCTGCGAGAGAACTGTACCGTCTATTTCCAACAATAATGCTGGCATTGTTTAGCCTCAGCTAGTGACTTTTAATTGCTTTCCATTCCAATTAGATGTCTAATTGTTAAAATGCACTTGAAATTTCTTTAGCCACGTTTTAGCAAATCCAGTCAGATATATATTTGTTTTGATAGCTAGGTTTACATTTTGCCTGTGACTGAGGCTTAACCGCTCACTACTTACAGTTTTGTTTTTGTTTTTGTTTTTTTTAAGTAAACGAATCGACAACAATTTTCCATGGTATACATTTATCGACCATTTCAGACATGACATCGCAACGTTTAAAACTAAAGAGGAACCACGATCTGTAGGCAGTTCTTGTAGCCTAAAAAAACAGTCAACATTTCACCACTGGTTTCCTTGCTGAAATGATCTCTAAGGAATAAAATGAGAAATTCCGCACTACTACAATACAATCCAGTTCTGGGTGGTGCTTCTAACTGGTCGTTCAGCGTGGCCAATCAGAACAACCCCGATCTGGGAAATGACAAGTAATCAGTATGGAATTTCTGCAGTCGCTCCTCAAACTTCATTTCGCGGGAGAAACCAATGCTGGCCTTTGAAATGTCGGCTCTCTTCTCAGGCTTGACTCCAATTCCGTTGAAGTTTCTCCGAAACTCGCGCGCAAGAGAAAAAGACAAACAAATCGTTCCATTATCATTCCAATTATTAATTTATTGTATTAGATTCGCCAATTTTTTGGCAGGGTCTCCACAACTGCATGACCCAATTACTGCTGGCCCGTAACAGTCTCCTCCCCTATGAGAGACCACCACAACGGGGACTACGTCTCCCGCTCTTTACAAACAGTGTGTGGGATATTTAACGTCCCACAGAATTAATCTATATAAGGGTTGTGAGACGGGGCCTACGAGTTATCGTCCTTATCCGAGAAGAATTAAAAAAACGACCCTGAATGTTTTTCCAGCCGGGGTTTGAACCAGCGGCCTTCCGCTCGGCAGACCAGGGCATATCTATTACTGACCTAACCGTGCGGCTGTAAAATGATTCATGATCATCGAAACATTTTTTTTTTGTCTTTAGGTGAAACGCAATACCGGTTGGCTTTTGAAAAGGCTTTTAATCTTCTGAAGCGCACCACATCTGAAGACGCAGGCAAACCAAAACGGAAAGTTATCTTATTTCTTACAGACGGAGCACCCTCCGATGATAAAAAAGCAATTTTCCAGACCATAAGAGACAGGAATCTGGAGCTTAACAACTCGGTTGTCATTTTGACATTTGGTTTCGGTGGTGTAGATCAGGAAACAATTAACATTCTTCAAGATATTGCCCTGCAAAACACAGCCAAGTATGGAGTCTTCTCCAACGCTTCATTTGGAGACATAACGGTAAAACTTTCAAGTGTTCTGATATACGAATTCTGCCCTTTTTATGTGTGAAATAAAAACAATAACTTTGAAATACCAACTTGAACTCAGCATCTCCACATTTCAAAAGCTTCATGAAAATTTCTATCCCTACGCAAAGCTCGACAAAACGACGTTTGCTTTCTTTGAAGACAGTCTCTCTAGGACCAGATTAAACAGGGTAGTTATTGTTTCCTTTCTCTCTTATAATTAGAAGGGAAAATACATAGCTGTAGAAGACATCAAAACCCTTAGAAGCAAAATGGGCTTGTACTATAACTTCTTTGCAGCCGGAAAGCAGCTTGATCGACCAGTGGCTTCTGTCCCATATGTTGATGCTTTTGGACTAGGTTTGTGTTTTTCTGTTTACTGCGCTTAGGAAACTATTCGTTTGAAAGACGCCCTTAGATGTTCCATTAAGCTCCACGCAGAGTTCAAAGAAGGCATGAGTATGAAAAATTGGGAGAAAAACTTACCTTAGGAAAAAGGGAGAGGCAAGGTTCATGAGATTTGGCGCTCCAGAAACAAAAATAGCGAGAAATACAAAACAGAAAATTATGTAGCCTGCGAGAACGCCTTGTCCATACGTGGAGAAAGCGACAGAAATTATTTAATGACTTCAAAGCAAAAAAAAAGAACCACGAAGTTTTCAAAGGTGTTGAAGAATACACAAATCTGCAGCAAGAAACATAGGGCTTAAAGACAAGCTTTGAAACTCGTTTGGTCCCTGTGCGTCCACAGCCTTCACATCTCAGTCTTATTTTATTTGGAGTACACTGACAGAGTCCTAGTGTACAAAACCTTAACTTCTTATTAACACTTTTTTCCTAATTTTAGGACTTGTAATATCAATAACCCTTCCTTGTTATCATAAAGGAATGTTTATTGGTGTCGTAGGCACTGACATTAGCATGGAGGATTTGGTATCTGACATCAATTTATTAAACGAAGGACAGAGTGCATACGCTTTTATGACCAGTAAATCAGGGAGAACTATTGTTCACCCTCTCCTCCCAGCTCCAACCGACGCGTATGGAGACCCAGTGTATTTGGATATTCGTGCATTAGAGCCAGAAGCAGAGTTCAACGATGTTTTTACCTCAATGACAAAGTATGTAGGTGTATTAACTTGTAACAATTTTTTACCTCTGCGCTGTGTTGTTGTACTGCTGGTGGCTGAGCCTACAATGTAGGTACATTAGGATTGTTAAAGAATGATAGATTTAGAAGCATATCTAGCCACTTCAGGACGCATAACATTTAAAGTTTTCCCACAGAAAACTGATACCCCTGGACTCCCTTAACATGCTTTCTCTCATAGATTCAAATTAACGCCACCACTCTCAATCCTTCTCTGAATCCGGGGTTATTCTGACACAAATGAAAGAAATTTTCACTGCATTAGGTATTTTAGAGGTTTCCACTAGTTATATTACAGCTTTACACTTTTCTCTTAGTGGCAGGTCTGGTTCAAAAACCTTTCTTTCCAAACGATTTTTACCACGAGGGGGGGACGTCAAGGAAGGAGTGGAAGCCAGAGAAGTAAATTCAACGTACTCTTGGACTCAGGTAGATGGTACCGAATTTACACTTGGTGTAGTTGTACCAGTAGCCTACGCGAAGGAGAAACTTAAGGCTGTCACAATTCCAGAAGGTTAGTCAGCTGGAGAGTATTGCTGTGTAATTTTCCTAATAATCAAACCTCCTTATCATGGACATATACCAGAAATCAGAGGTGCCTTAATGATTATGGAGGTGAATCGACCTTGCTGTCTTTGCAATCAAGAAAAATCTCAGTAATAGAGAGGTCTGTCCCTATGGAGAGGTTTGGCTGAATCAGTGAAAGCGCTTTTTCGTATAGTCAATAAGCTGAGACTATCCAATTTAATCCCGGATATGCTTCGAATTTAGTAATGTTTGGACAATTAAACGCTAACATTGCTTCACAACTGCCAACGTAGTCCAGCCCCGCAATGAAACAGCTAATGAAAGTTGTAGCATGTGAGCTTTCACTACCCTTAAGAGCCCACAGCAGCAATTGTTAAGACTAAAATCACCTGCCATTTGTTATCATTAAATCCCAAAGGTTACAAGTTTCAGTATCACCGGATCGATCTCCAGTCCTTTGAAAAGCCGTGCAGTCATTTCGGAGTAAACGCAACAAAAGGTACTATTTTCAAGTCATAACATACGCTAAAAACTTTCAAATTCCTGCTTTTAATAAAAATTGTATCATGAAAGTGAAGAAAAAAAGAAAAGACTGTGTTGATCGATTGTAAAAAAAAGGAAATAATTTGATCCCACACTGGTCTGGTGTTTCAAAGAGCCAAAAATTCGAGGACTTTCCAAGGATTTTTAGGGCCAAGAAAACACGACCATTACCTTTTCGGAAAGAAAGGGGTACCTTAAAAGTTTTTAAGGGGCAAAGAGTTTTTCAGGCATCAGTATAACACTGGAAGAATATTTGTATTAAGCTTCCTGGAGTAATATCCTTGCTGAAGACTCACGGAAACTTAACAGTGAATCATCCGCTACTCACCTACAAACACCCTTTCAGAAAGTCTTAGGGCTTTATAATTTCCGCATATCCTTTACACTGACTAAAGAATGATAATTCCACCTAACTATATATAGGTAAATGAATTCTGTGTTTTTTACTAATAGGTACCACGGCTGTAAAATTTGCACCCGGAGCTTTCAAAGACAATTACGAATATATAGGTAAAAAAGAGAGTAGGGCAGATTTGGAGTTGCTCAATGCTTACATGACTGACGATACGGGGACGATCAAAAGTCCTGGTCTAAAACCGGGAATAAGGGACACAGTGACCGCTACCTGGAAAGTGGAAGACATTTGGTTGCGTGAAAAGACTGAGCTGACACAATATTTGGTGTGGAGATATATTGGAACAGCAGATGGGGTTTTCAGGCAGATGCCTGGTGCTGTATTTCAGAAAAGTTACGATCCCAGACAAAGACCCTGGTAAGTAGGAACTCTCCTCTTCAACCCCTTGAATCGGGTTGTAATATCAAATAGGCCGCGTGATACTGTTTTATCATCCAAATTTTCGAAAGGCTATCACTCCGTCTTCAACCAGAATAGACAACTTCACGGGGTCAAGATCTCAATAAGACTCATCATGTAGTCAGTGGTCTGCCTGCCTCCCGTAGAGGGAGGTAATGTCGGAGTACTCCACCCTTGCGGTTCAGTTGTACTTTATGAAGCTTGCTTTTTTCTTTTATTTTTCAAGGTAGTTGGAAAAATGTTGATCTTGTTTATAATGGGCCAATTTGTGTGACCGCAAGTGAACACTGGAGCTTACGTTGATTCAGCTCAGGCCTATTAAGTCGCCCCGATCTAAACCAGGGCTGGTTTAGGGTAGACGACGCTGACGCTGGGTTTGCAGGTGTCCTTTTCAACCTTTTTATCATCCTCTTAACCTCGGGAAACACCGCAGCACCTTTGGAGGGTTTTTTCTGGGATCCTGAGTTGGACCCGTGACTTATAGCTTTTCTTGGCTGTGGCATTTCGAATCTCTGTAAGAACCCATTCTGGTCCATTCTGGGCAATCAAAGAGCAAAAGTGCTTCTCTTTTTCGAAGATGATGGTTTGCCCTTTTAACGATATCCAGTTTTTGTGCCCAGGGTGGCGTGAGGAAAACTGATTAGTAGTGCCTGAGTGCGTACAGTTCTGTAGGGATCAGCTGTTGATCGTTCGGGATTCATTACGATTTCCAGTGGTTGTTTTTTTTTTTCCTGCTCGATGGCGAAGCTGAAGCTGGCGTGCTTTTCATTTATTTGGTAGAAAATCATCTTTGTATTTGTCTTGTTCACAACTCCTGTTCATCTATCCTTGCTCTAAGACTTCTCCATGAAGAGTTCCACTAATACTGGGTAGAGCGGGGAAACCCTGGCCATTGACTCTATTGCGCTGCTTGTAACTGTAACGTTGTGGCTTTGTACAGAAACAAAACGGTTCTTTTAAACATAAACAAACAATATTTTAATCCAATTAAGTCACTTCACTTAAAACTCCTGTACAAGATGGCGAGCACGTGTAAAACCTGGCATTCTATTGGATAACAACTATCACGTGGCGTTACAGTAAAGTATATCCACGACCAGCCATATCAACAATACCATTTTATCAGGGGTCATTGGTGAGCGTTCTGACTAAATGGGAGTCATTCTCTGTCTAAGTGATCAAAAAGGTAATGTTTTTGCTTGGGAGTCGCTGGTAAACTGGGTGGCGATGTCATATGACGTCTAGATATTGCCATTATCGAATGTGCTCTTTCTATTCGTGTCCACGAGGTTCAGCGTTGGAGGTGTTTATTTTTCCTCACCTTAATTGCCCCACCCAAAGGTTCAGTAACGGTGGTGAGTGATCCTAGGGAGAGCTGATAGATCTCTATTTAAATCGTCTCCCCAGAGACGACGGCAAGCATCTTCATAGTTTTAGGAGTTCTGTAGAGCCGCAGGTGGCGTCTGAAGTAGGGAATCGCTTTATTCTTGGCAGGTATCTCTGGATTATGTTGCCCTTCATTTCACATGGCTTTCAGTCTGTGCTGTTCAGTCTGAACAGATTGTTCGGAATTGTAGGAGCGCAAGTGTTCTTATGCGAAGTTGGCAGTTTCTGGCGTGCTGACACACGCACTCATGCTTGTCCAAAACAACAAAGGCTTTCAATTTGTCAGAAGAAAGAATGAAATGTCCTTAATTGGGCGCTTGGACATTTCTGTCATCTTTACTAAAACTGTCTTTAGGGTGCTAAGAATTGGAAAATCAACGACCTGGTCTCAAAGATATCGCATCCTAACTGCTCTATGTTTTGACGCACGGCTTTTATGGCACTGACGATCGACAATCTGTCGGGATAAGTTTAAACCTTTTGAAAGGACTTTTATATCACTGTTACTGTGTTTTTATAATAGTGCCCTCATGCAGCGAAAAAAAGAAAAAGAAAAAAGCATCTCACATGAAGTTAAGGACGAAAGCGAGAACCAGCAACAAATTCAACAACCTTTGAGATTCGAAGCCAGCCTATTTTGATAAGAGGCATGTGCTGTCAGTTATACATGTACGTCACCTTACTATTTTATGGGTGCTGATGACTAAGAAAAAATATTTTATGTGTACATGCCGTCTATCCTTGGCCTAATTGTTATTTTCTTTAGTTTTTGGATGTGGTAATGGTAAAAATTAAATTTACACCAAGATTAAAATTTTTGTTATTCATGGTTTGGTTCACTTAGGTATTATTCAGCTTTGGGTAACACTGGCCTTCTCACTCTCACGACCCCATATTTGGACGCTGGCCAACCTAATGGCAGAGGCGCTGGAGTGATTATAACTGTCGCCCGCTCCCTATACCGAGGGGAGTCAAGTCACCATCATCACACAAATGACGAGGTTCTTGGAGTTATGGGAGCTGATTTCTCACTGGCTTATTTCTACAGGTTAGTCCAAGCTTGCACAAGCTCATTGCATTTAGGTAATGTCCATTTTTGTCGTGCTGTTGGGCCAAAAACGGAAATAATTAAATAATTTAATACATTTTTTTTTTATTTTAAAACTTTAAATCTAAAACACACCCCCCTTATTAAAGAAAAAAGTAGTCTCGAAAACAGCTGGACACGGACACAACAAAATAACAAATTAGGCTTCCTATTATTAGGTGGTTATTAGATAACTATCAATTTTTATGACATCTTCATGCAGTTTAATGGTTTAGTTAATTGTTATTTGCCTCAGAATTTTGGATGTTTGTGGTTTTCCGAAGCTACTGACTAAACATTTGATTTTTTAGATTGCTCACTAAAGTGTATCCAAAGTGTAGAGAACGAAAATTCTATTCTTGCTTCGTTATGGACAGCGCTGGATTCCTTATCATGCACGAGGACTTCCTTGCACATTCCGAAATTATTGCCCAAGACTTGGAATATGTTCACATTACTAATAAAGAAAAGAATATCGCGGAACATCTCATTACAACTGGCTACTTGAAAAAACGGGAATGCCGCAATCTTAAAGAAATCCAGAAGCAGAGTTTTTATGAAGTTGACTTGCCATATGGAGGAGTTGACGTTCTGAAGAGTGGAGACAGCTGCAGTAAATACCAACTCAACAAGATTGTTGGAACTAATGCTTACCTAGGTTTGTAAGTGATTTTGTAGTCTGTGTGTGACAGTGCTTGCATTCTGACGGTGGCTAGAATATCTCGGTCTAGCTTTTAAACCAGCTGCAGTCAGAAATAAAAGCAAGTCCCAAGGGGATAAGTAGACTTTCTTAAAAGTCCTTTAATTTTTTTCCTGGTCGACCTCGCGACCTCGTCGCACGCTCGGTCGCTGCACGACCTTGTTGAAGCTCGCTTCGCTCGCTAAAAACCTTATGAGAGGTCGACTTGTGGCAAGTCCAGGGATAAATTTCACGCCACACGTAATCTGACATTTAGACGTAGCTGCCATTTGGCTGTTTACAAACTAAAGATGGAAGGTAAAATAAAGTATTTCCATTCTAAGACTTTCTTAGGCTTAACAGACACTGTTAAGTCTAAAATTAACATTTAGGAACGAAAAATAGTGAATGATCATGACACAGAATGCTACAGTGAAAAAAATCAAAACGAAATATATGAAATGATCATTATAGCCCAGTTTTTCCATGAGGGTAGATAAACGCATTCGGTACAAACAACTACTTTCGCAGTATTCAACATTTTTTTCCTGTTCGACCTCGCGACTTCGTCGCACGCTCGGTCGCTGCACGACCTTGTTGAAGCTCGCTTCGCTCGCTAAAAACCTTATGAGAGGTCGACTTGTGGCAAGTCCAGGGGATAAGGTACTACACGTTTTTCAGAGCTAATTACCAGATATACTTGAATGGGCCTTTTGCAATAGTTAGTCACGTGATAAATTTTCCGTAAATCATGAAAACAGTTCGCTTTTGGAAAATTTGGTTAGTAGGATATTAAAATTAAATAACCTGTGAATTTTCAGTCGCATATCTCAAAAGGAAGATTTGTATGAGAAAAATAACTATTGCCACCCGGTAACGCGTGAATGGTGTTCTATACAAATCCTTGTAAATTTTGACATTTTTAAACTGTCGTTAAATCTTTCCCTTACGCATTTAAGGGCTCAAATTGCCTTGAATGAATAAAAAAGAGATTTGAGCCCCATAATGCTTAAGGAAATATTTTACGACAGTTTGAAATTTTCCAAATTTACAAGGGTTTGAATGGAAAACCACTTAAACTTGACGGGGTGGCAAGGGTTGATTTTCCCATACAAATCCTTCTAATTATCGGCGGCCGTTACGATCTCTACTTTTGAGATATACGGCAGTAAATACCTTACCTTATTTTAATATGCTTTTTCAGTTCCTGCTAACAAAACTTTTTGAAAGCGAACTGTTTTTGTGTTTACAAAAAGTTGATCACGTGATCAAGTAATGCAAAAGGCCTATTGCTCCGGGGTCCGTAAGTTTACCTTGAATTGATTTCTTGTGCAACAATATGTACTTGAAAGGCCGCAGTGGCAATCAAGAGAGTCTTGGTTTTGATGAGTAGGTTGAGTATGATCATCTGGGTGAGGGACGGCCTATTTTTGGTACCAACACACCCCTCTCGTTTGCTATATACACACACTGGGTCAAAAGTTGGCTTTGAGGGCAATCACTCCCGCAACCGGGATTTTTGTAGTTTTCCATTACTGCGATGTAGAACTAGTCAGATGCCAGGACAACTACAATTTTTTTAGACATTGCCCTTAAGTAGGCAGCAAGAGTCTATTGTAGTTTCCCATCTTAACATGACTACGTAAAGCGACAGAGGTAGCGAGGGAAAAAGTGATCAAATCAAATTGTACTGTCCTAAGTACCAATTGATTGGAAAGTGTTACCCACTTAACTGTACAGACTTATTTTTCTGCAGGAGTCGCTTTGCGGGATTCAATTTGTGCTGCTGAATCATGTACCTGTTCTTCAGATAACGAGTGTTTCCGTCCGTCCACAAAGTGTGAATGTCCCTGTACCTCTCCGCTCGAATTTGAATATTGCCAAAGTCAGTTCCCAAACAGCAGGTGAGTTTTGACTCCCGAGCAGGCCACTAATGCATTACTACATATTTTAAGTTCAAATGTAACAAACAATTATACACAACAACATACATACATTGCATGCAAAATGGACTCAACCGTATTATTTTGTAAAAGTTACGACTAATTTTACTAACAGTACGAACACTTTAACAGCGGCCACTTAAGGATGGTGCCCACTATTGTTACTGCGCACATTTTTTGCGCATGTCAAGGTAGTCGCGCGCGACCCGAAAGAAATGCGCAACACGCAGGACACGCGGACTGGTTTTGTTATTTCTTATGGAAAAAAATGCGTCGTTTTTCAACAGATGAAAAATAATTTCTACTTACAGTGCCACTTCTTTGAAAACCGAAGAAGTATGCGCATGTTGCTATTTCTGCCGTATGATCGATCTGACCGAACATTTTGTAGTCAAACAAAGTTAATTCTAAAACATCAAAAGTTATTGCTTCAAGATGTTACGCTTAGAGCTTGGGTATAAATAAATCCCTTAATAGGCAAAGATCAGTAAATCAGAAGGAAAATAGCTCTAAGTCCTCCGCTTAATCGAGAAACTGCAAGCTTACCTATCACTCGCGTCCTTCGCGTTTTATCGGCTAATCGGCCATAAACACTTTCCCGAATATTTCTTTAATTTTGTAAGATTTTATGTAATTATTCACCGGAAGATAGATTTAAAGTTTTCGAGTACACACAGATTTCCCTTTTATTGAGGGTCCGAGGCTTTTATTTGATGAACAAACAAGAAAAAAAAAAAAACTATCACAAGATTGCTTGTATTGATGAGATCGCAGCTTCACAAATAGTTGCCGACCGCAAAGGAAACGCTTTCATCGTGGAAAAAATCGTAAAAAATTGTTATCCTTTTTGCTATTATCATTGTTATTTATGCATTTTGGCATTACTAAGGATTGAAATTATTGACTCATTGGGCAGTTTGTCGTGTAGATAGTATTTCTTAAGGTTAAATTTAACGCCACACGTAATCTGACATTTAGACATTTGGCTGTTTACAAACTAAAGGTGGAAGGTAAAGTATAGTATTTCCATTCTAAGACTTTCTTAGGCTTAACAGACACTGTCAAGTCTAAAATTAACATTTAGGAACGAAAAATAGTGAATGATCATGACACAGAATGCTACAGTGAAAAAAATCAAAACGAAATTTATGAAATGATCATTATAGCCCAGTTATTCCATGAGGGTAGTTAAACGCATTCGGTACAAACAACTACTTTCGCAGTATTCAGCTTTTTTAAAACAGAACTCATGTATGGAACTTGAGTCTCTCCCAGTTTTCTTTTTGGATTTCAACAGCACCTGATATGATATACTTGTCTCACATAGTCTTTATCCGGGAAAAAATACTTCCCATTAGTGGGCTCCGTCCTTAAAAAAAACTTTGTGAAGCATAGATTTGTTTATACGTTGTTTGTTTGTTTGTTGCCATCTTATTGCCTTTCAGTCTTCTGATCTGCCCAGCTCTAGCTCCTAAGTCACAACAAACAAGCAATCCCAGCCTACCCCACTCTGGAAAGAAGTGTCATGACCCTAAACTATCGTTAGACAAGTGCTTTGATCCTCGCTGCAGTGAGAGAAACAGCTCTCAGACTTGCGAGGGAATTGTCAGCTGTTACTGGTGTGTGTACAATAAAGATAACGTCCCCTTAAAGAAGCCGTATTGTGCAAGTGCCGATGTCTGCTTCAGAGGAAAAGAAGGTTAGAGGATACTTAGCCTTTTCCGATGCTTTGAACACTTAAAGAATAACCAAATAACTATGTGAATGAAATCTTAGAAAAAATAGGAATCACCTTCGCACCAAATGTCTGCATGCTTATCTGTTTTACCTGATTCCTTGAAAAACAACAACAGACGGCTCAATGCAGTTAAAGAATTCAATACTTTTATCCGTAATATTAATGTCTTGGATGATGGAGGCAAGCCATGCTGGAGACTAATGAGCAATTATGAATCAATCAGAAAAGCAATATGCCCTTCATTTTGCCCGCTCGCAGGTGCAGGCATAAAATTGAAAATAAGAATAATAATCACCACGACCACCTCCTATTTTTCCGTCTTTTGAAGATATGATCTTAATTGACCTTATTAACTTTCTCCTATTTTACAACAGCCCAAGTCCTGCCACCCTGTGTCGTCCCTACCAAGTCAAGAAAGGAAAATTCAGTTCCAAGCGGGGATTGGTTTGGCAAGAATCATGCTAGTGCGTTGGCCGGGATAACTGTTGTTGGTGTTGTCATCATAGTAGGACTTTTTTGTTTGGTAAGCACTTACAGTCGCTTCCAGTCTTTGTATTGATTCACATCTTAATTCGGGGAATCTCAAAGATGGTTCCCCTGGTCGAAAAATATTTCACTCAGAACCGCTCACTGATATTTCATCTGCGGAGGAAATTGGTTAATAAATAAAACGTGAACAGGGGTGATAAACATTGTGAGTTTTCGCATTTTTATAAACTGGAAGTTTCTTATGCTATTCAACATACATCTTCAAAAGTGATCTTAAATGACCGTTTAAAGAAAATGACGAGACTATATATTAAAAAAATTACAAATTGGTTCATATTGTGCACATTTTTCAGAAGGGTCAAGATTTTGAATAGACGCATGCGTACTTATTTGTCACTTGTGTGCCCATGAACAAAACACCGTGCATAACAACTTATCTTTTCTTGTACCTTACCTTGTATCACGAACTGTATAGCATCTTGTGAAAATGAATCGTTTTAGCCCGAAAATATGCAAGATAACCTGCTCAAGGACCATAGCAACCTTACTGAATAGGTCTTCTCTGCAGTTACTCCTGCTGCCACAATCAATAATTTCCCAGACATTTAAATAGCTGAATCGCCCTTTACATAAATCACATGGTACATGGCACTCTCACCTCCGTTTATTCGTTTCTTCGATAATTTCAGTTTATTCTTTCATTCTTTTATGCTCTAAAGGCGATATGGCAAAGAAGACGCAGATTAAGGAAAAGTTCCTCTAACCCCAAGGCAAATAGCTTGTCCACAGAGAATATAATTGATTGTCAAAATGAAGACCTCCATAAGCGTCCTCGCGCACCAACTCCTATTTTGCCACTGGAATATGAAGATCCCAATGTTCTAGAAATGTCTCAAGAAGGTTCTGTAGTTCTATCATGTGATAACGAAGCAATGATTTCCATGCCGGAGGGACGTTCACCCCATCTTTGTGAGAGTAGGTCAGAAACTGACCCAAGTGAAAGTTCAGCATCTCCGGCTCAGTTGCATCCAGAACGAAATATTACTGTGAGTAAACATGCAAGAGCCACATCACAAGAAGTTTCAAAAGATATAGAGCCAGAAACTCTGTCATTAACTGACAAAGAATCGTTTGAACTTCCTGGAAACCAAGGGCAGCCTGTTTTGATAACTTCTTTTGATTACGTAGAACCAAAGTACGGTAATATACCTCCTCCTGTTCCAGAACAATGGAACGCTTCTAGTGCATATATGTCACCATTGACATTACAGTCCTTTAGCAGATCAGTACCAGAAAGGAATAGTACTCCTGGAAACACTACTGATGAACATGGCTACTTGGTATGCTTCCTCTAACCTTCGGTACCAATAATATTCCTCGCAGCGATAAACTTAATCTCTGCAAAAATAGAATCCCGCAGTTGCAAGGAGCACATGTTTCATTTTGAAATTATGCTGAAATACGTGGGACATTTGACTCTATGTTGCTCTCCTAGCGTTTGACAAAAGGGACACTTTTTATATTAGCTCTCAGAATGTTTTGAATGGCGTTTGGTAACTATTTTGTAGTGGATATGTGAAACTCATTCCAAGGGTCAGACAGAATGCAACCTAAATACCTTAACACCTCATATCTATATTTTTCTCTAAACACACTTATATACTTAAATAAACGACTTTTTTCTTTATTTCTTAAAATGCCGCCTAGTATTTAAATTGCCCGTGGGGGGAAATCTCTATTCCTCATAAGCTCGGCTTCTCGGAGATTTCCCCGCCACAGTCACTCCTCCCAAGTAATGCACAAATTTTAAATTTAATGTTAGTTAACCTAGTTATTATCGTTTTTATTCTGCTTGTAATTCATTGTGTGTGGCAAAATAATAAAATAATAAAATAATAAATAATAAAAATAATAGACACTTATACCATCAACTCCTCTGTAATAAGTAATGGTTAATAGGACTGAGGGAGTACAATTCGGGGAAAAGCCGATTTGAAATTACGAGCCCGATTACCCCTGAATTGTATGACAGGAAGTCCTATTACCAAGTAACTGTGTCACTAACAAAATGTGAGAACCTCAGTGTTGGAATATTTATTAATGTAAGAGGAAGGTTCCATTTAGCAAAACATGATCGGTTACAACTTTGGTTGAAATTATCGGAATTTGGAAGCCCAACCTCATGATGTATTTTATTAACAAGCAGTGAAAGCCTAAAGAAACAATATCTGGACTAGTTAGTTTCATCCATTTTTCTTTTCCAGGTGAAGATGGACAGCTTACCTGGTCACTATTTTTTCATTGATTTTGATTGGTTATCATGTGCTATGTAGCTAAATTTCATTGGCTAGTGGCATTTGTTACTTGATTTTCATTGTTCTTGCCGATTACAAACTTCTGGTAATCGGACAGGTCAAATAGGACAGGTTTGGAGTAACAATAGCAAAATTAAGCTAGAAATATGAGCTGTTAAGAACCAATCAGATTCAAGCATTTTGTTATTGACACACATGAGAAGACACACAGGGCTTGCACTGTAAGTATCCCAGAGAGCTCCATACAATTCCTTATAATTTTATTATAAGGAATTGTATGGAGCCTTTCAGGAGACTTTTCTTCATTAGCTTAGGCGCGGCGGATTTTGTCACGTATGATCCATGCGAGGTGTTTTTCCTGACACCCTTCTGTCAGGAAAATGTCATCATATGAAAGCAAACCAGACACGATCGTGTCCGCAGGCTGAAGCCGGCAAAAATAAAAGGCTTTTCTTCTTCCATTTCAGAGATCAGTTTTGTTTCGATCTGGTCATTATAAATCAGGTTTTCAGGCTGTAAGTAATAAAACACATTGTCTTATTAATTTCTCAGGGACCTTTAGAAAACGAGATAAACGAGACAATTTACTCGACAATGAAGGTGAAAAAGCGGTTTTTTAAGAAAATATTTTTCAATTCCCGCAGCGATTTTGCGAAATCGCGAAGTGCAATACGGATATGTTCAGTTTCTTCCAAACCGTCATGATTAAGCACTGTAATGCCATCACAACTAAAAATGAATTTAGTTTGTATCGCAAAAGCCGCGAAAATAAAGATGAAAAAAATTGGATCAGAAAAACGCAGAATACATTTCATCCTACATGTAGTTGTGATTTCGGGAAGGGACCTCGGGAGCTTCATTGCCGTATTATCTTCTACATTGCAGAAACTACAACAGAATTGGCCTGCTCCATGCTAACTTTCCGCTCAAATTATGACTACAGTACCAGTGAATTGTTTCAAAATTTAAAGCGGCCGAAACTTATTGCCCATCAGTGCGTAGTTAGTTAGGATATAATAATAATACACAACACTTTAAAGAACACTGACGGTCCGCGTTTTGTTCGTCGCTGAATACGATTTAACCGCTTATAACGTAAGAGAAAATGCATGAATACAAGATCACTGTTCCACAACCCCGTACTGAATTTTAAAAAAGAAGCCTTTCTTATAACGGAAGAGTGTTGTTAAACAGCTTGTCTCTGAAGGTAAGGCAATAATGTTTTTAAACTAAAATTAAAAACCTTAATTTAGACATATCTATCTTTACACACGGCCTCAATGTAAAGCAGGTTTTTTATCGTTATATCTTTATTGTTTTAGTTTTTATCTTAGATTCATTTCTAGCTTAGTTAGGTGGTTATTTTTCTATACTTGAATGTAAATGTGCCTGGAGGAAATAACGTGTATTACCTTACCTCACCTCTGTGATGTGTGTAAATTTGTCTTTTGCTATGGTGCGTCAAAACAATGTATCAAGCGCGCAATAAAGAAATGTGGCATGGTGTAGCACTTTATGACAAAATTTTAACCAGAAAACTTGTTGCCATCTGATGTACACCTGTATAGTCTATGTTTGTAAGCTCTGCCTAAAGAATCACTGGGTACACTGCACCCATGGGTGTGCCACCTAAAGTGCAGCCTATGTTTGTTAGCTCTACCTAAAGAATCACTGGGTTACACTGCACCCATGGGTGTGCCACCTAAAGTGCACCCTATGTTTGTTCGTTCTACCTAAAGAATCACTGGGTTACACTGCACCTATGGGTGTGCCACCTAAAGTGAAGCCTATATTTTTTAGCTCTACCTAAAGAATCACTGGGTTACACTGCACCCATGGGTGTGTCACCTAAAGTGCAGCCTATGTTTGTTAGGTCTACCTAAAGAATCACTGGGTTACACTGCACCCATGGGTGTGTCACCTAAAGTGCAGCCTATGTTTGTTAGGTCTACCTAAAGAATCACTGGGTTACACTGCACCCATGGGTGTGTCACCTAAAGTGCAGCCTATGATTGTTAGGTCTACCTAAAGAATCACTGGGTTACACTGCACCCATGGGTGTGTCACCTAAAGTGCAGCCTATGTTTGTTAGGTCTACCTAAAGAATCACTGGGTTACACTGCACTCATGGGTGTGCCACCTAAAGTGCAGCCTATGTTTGTTAGGTCTACCTAAAGAATCACTGGGTTACACTGCACCCATGGGTGTGTCACCTAAAGTGCAGCATATGTTAGCTTATGTTTGTTAGGTCTACCTAAAGAATCACTGGGTTACACTGCACCCATGGGTGTGCCACGTAAAGTGAAGCCTATATTGTTTAGCTCTACCTAAAGAATCACTGGGTTACACTGCACCCATGGGTGTGCCACCTAAAGTGCAGCCTATGTTTGTTAGCTCTACTTAAAAAATCACTGGATTACACTGCACCTATGGGTGCATGTGCCACCTATAGTGCAGCCTATGTTTGTTACCTCTACCTAAAGAGTCACTGGCTTACACTGTACTCACGGACGTTTGCCTCACGCTCTAGCATGTTTCGCCAAAAATCAAGCTTTGTTTCCCCTAAAAGTTTGACACCATATTGGGGCCCGAAAGACGTTAAAAGTTCCTCCATAATAGAATAGTGCTTTGCTAGAGTTAACAAGTTTGGCTTACATGAGTTTCAATATAAAGGTGCAAAAACTTATCAGCATAATTATAGCACACAAACAGTGTCATCTAACTCCTGGCATGTAGCCTGAATAAGCCAAGTATATAGCACATATAACGATAAATGTTTGTCAAATGGTCTCGATAAGTAAATTATACTTAACTTTCCGAAAGACGTTTATGGCTTGTATCCGTGTTACGCATCGAAAAAGCGAGGAGTCATCGCATGACATTAGGTAACAAAGGTAATACTCACGGGTTTTACGAATTCCAATTCCACGATTTTTCGCCGGGTAACAAAGTTAAAACTTCAGTTCTTACCTTACACTTGTCGGTTCTTTTACCTTACATTCGCCAACACCAGAAAACATGAACAAAACGATGAAATCCGGAATTCTTCTTTCAGAAGTAGCAAACCGCATGAAGTAAAATCCACCGATATATGCGCTGCTTTCTCACTACAAATATAAACATTTTTGTGAAGAAAATACGACGAGGAGGAAAAAATGCCAGATCTTCCCCTCGGCAATGTATCCCAGCTACCAAGCCGGCGTATCTTCAGAAGGTGGACTCGAGGTGGGACGAACCTTGTGATTTTTTTAGAAGCCCTTTGCGCGCAAATTAATTTATTCTGGCGCGAATTAAGAAAATTTATCTGAAATCTAATACACGGCAAGAAAATTTTCGCGCTTTCGAGGAGCGCGACATATTAAATGGGATTAATTCGGATTAGCTGCCCGCGGAGAAAACATCCCTGCATGGGATTGTACTTCCACTACACCTTTTGCTGTTCATTACGAGAAAATACGCAATCATTTGCGTAAAACCGCGACCAATAGCGCGAAGATACATTCATTAGCGCGAAAAAGCGAACATTTGCGCATAAATCAGATTCAATAACGATTTTTGCATTTTAATCAACATTCAATAACACTTTTGGGCATTCATATGGGTCATTGGGCATACAAAAGAGAAAAATATACTTTCATTAACGCCAACATCAAAGTCATTAACACCATCTTGAAAGTCAATGGGGACAACTGACATACATTAAAGTGCAAGCACTATTCATTAATATTTTTATGACACGGTTTACAATTCAATAGCATTCCTGGACAACCTTAGGATGGATAAGACAAACATTAATGCGCTTGTACAATCAATTGAGTGTTCTTAACATTTAATATGCAAAAAACGATTTTCAATTAAACAATAGAAATTCCCCCCAAAATTGGCCCGAATTTCACTCCGTTAAATGTATATCCCTCAAAAACCTCGCTATTCAAACATTTTGGGAGGTAGGTTTGTATGAAATGGTACCCCTTCGCACATTTAGCTGCGGTCACAATGTCATGTTTCTGCGCATAGCTTCAAGCACTGCAGTTGTTGTT